AGATTATTTTCTTTAATATATTTCTTCTGCATTTGCCTTAATTTTTATATAGAGTGCATCATAAAGCAAATTTTCACTTTTCACTTTTACTCTTGCTAAAGGAAAAAAATGCTTAAGTTAAGCATTTCCAATGTTATATAATAGAGTAGGGAGAATTTTAAATAGCATAAGTATCAACTCTAATACCTAAAAAACACTGATTTCTAGCTCTGTGACCTCAGACTGGTTACTTAACCTCTCTGAGACTCAGATTTCTTCATTTTTACAACAAAAGCAACATGTTGCACCTCTGAGAGTTAGTATAAGGCATTAAAAAAAGATTATGGGAGAGGGAGGCATTCTTATGTCTGGCTCTTTAAAAAGGTTAATGATGCCTTCCTAAGAAAACACTGCCATCAGGCTAAAGGTCCTAGGTTTAAACAAAAAACTGTTTTTAGAAAGCTATTAAAAATAAGACCCATTATTAGGATGTTGATATAGAATTCAATAAAACTAAGAAAGTCTCATAAAATCCATAAAAAAACCTATTCAGAGTATTTTCTCTTAGATGTAAAATTAAACACTTGAGAAAATGTGACTCTGAGCCAATTATAAAAATTTTTCTAAGTTGCTACAAAGCCTCTGATCTTTTATTTTTTGGGGCTATGTGTGTTTATTTGTTTGAGATAAGGACTCACTGCAACTGGCTATGTAGACCAGGCTGGGCTTGAACCCACAGTGATCCTCTTGCCTCTGCCTCCTGAATGCTGGAGCTGCCAGTAAATAGGTGTTATGCCATGTCCAGCTCTTTGATCTTTTAATTAGCAAAAGAATGAGGATGGCGGGGCCTGGACCAGAAATCCTAGCTTCTGTAGGACTGACTTTAATTGACCTTGGCAAACTCACTTTTTTCCTGAGAACCTCAGTTTGGTACTCCACCCAAAAAGTTAATAAATGAATGTGGGTATGCTTGAGAATTAACATAGCAAAGGTCTGAAAGACAGAAGTGTACCATCTTCACTGAAAATATGAAGATTGAGAAAGGATGCTTGGCACTGTGTCCATGAGATGTTCTAGAAACAGGGATGAAAAGGTAAGGTTGTCTGATAAGGGTGGATCCAAACTTATACTTTCCCAACTGAAGCAGGAGAGAAGATTTTGCATACAATGAGTGAGGCCTTATTCAAGAGCGCAGCGTGCCAGGGACAGTTTCAGCTGCACAGTTCCAGGGCAAGGTCGGGTCCAAGATATCTGAGGGAACAAATGTCCTCTGAGTTCAAGCTCAGTCTTAAAAACCAATATTAAGAGTCAAGCTGTTTTATTCAGGTAATTGTAATGTCACTGTCACCATAGTAATGAGGCAATCACTCCAGGAGATCAAAGCAGAAAGATTGCAAGATCAAGGCCAGCCTGGGCTACAAGGTGAGTTCAAGGCCAGACTGGGCAACTCAACGAGACTCTGCCTCAAAATAAAAAGTGAAAAAGAAATCTGGGTAAATAGTTTAGTGGTAGAGTGCTTTCCTAGCATGTGTGAAGCCTTGGGGAGGATCTCTGAGTTCAAGGCCAGCATGGTCTACGTAGCCAGTTTTAGAGAATCTCTGTCTCAAACAAAACATAATGAAAAAATAAATGAAAGAGCAGAGGCTTTCATAGCAACTTAGAAAATATTTTATAAATGGCTCAGAATCACATTTTAAGTCTTTAGTTTTACAAATAGGAGGAAATACTTTCATTTGAATAGGTTGATTTTTATGGATCTTATGAGAATGCTTCTTAGTTTTATTGAACTCTACGTCAATATTCTAATACCACAAAGAGAAAAAAATTAGGGTAGTGGAGAATTGTTTGTGTAGTGCTGTGTCTCTAATAATCAGCAGAATATCTGTCCACAGCAGGTACCAAGACATCTTTCTTACATGAATGCACAGAAGGTTATGAACATCTGAATCAAATTTGGTCTGAATGATGGCTTTGTAATATCTGTCTTTAAGGATTGCTAAAGACGTATGAACCCATTTTACCATTTTCCCTTAGTGTTGTTCAGACTTTTGTTAATTTCATGATATCATATTTTAGGGTCAAGTGAGATCAGCACTCCCAATGAGTAACACACATGTATCCTACCTATTGAGAGACTGTACATATAGCAAAATCCTGCTCAATAAATCCTGGGCTGCAATGCTATCAGAGCAGACAGACTGCTCAGGAAAAGTATTCCTGCTTCCAGGCTTTCTGATGATGACTGTCTTCCTCTATCAACTTTTCCGCACGTGGCTTTTGGTTGCCTTTTTAGCTAACGACCCTGGGTTTTAACTAATGAACTCCAGCTGTTCTGATTTTGCTTACCAGCCCTCTCATTTCACCTCCTGTCTCCCTGGTCTCACATCCTTTGAGTTCTTAACAGGAAAAATGAGCCAGTGCCAGAGTTCTGAAATGATGCCCCACATACTCTTGAGGGGTGAAGGCCTCAGTTACAGGCTTCCAGCTTTTACACTGATGGAAAGAGAAGCATTCATTGTTGGGAGTTGGAAGCCTAACCACCTCCAATGTCAAAATCCTTTTGTGGTTTTTAATATTATACAAGCGATGCTTTCAGTAAGGGAAGTCCATAAAATAAACCAAGAAAGTCCACAGTGGAATGCTAGCTGTAATTGTGAACACCTGTGTGGGAGGCCGTTCCATCATAAATATGCAAGGAAAGACTTGTTGAGCATACAGAACAATACACATCCAAGGCTTCTGAGCCATGCAGAGAACCATCTGTTAGCAAAATCTACAAAAGGGGTACACTGTGCCTGTCAAATGTGAACTTGGAAAACTTAGCTATGGGCAATAGCAGAACAAAGCCTACCATAAGCAGCCAGTGAACCCAAGTTCAGGAAAGACAACGCCCAGAGACAGCCAAGAAGTTCCCTCCAAGCTGACGACCTGGGGTTTCTGCTATGTTCAGAAACAGTCTTTAACCTATCCACATATCTCTTTCCAAATGTGAGCTTCCTTTGATTCTGATCACTAATAAGCACACCAGCAAATGCAGCCCCATTATCTTCAAACCATGTACTCCTCCAGAATGCACTTGATCCTAATAGGATGAGTTCCCAGCTAAACAGATAGTCATTTAGCCTTTCTGCTTAAATTTAAAATGTTTCCCAGGGGCTCTGAAAGACTTGAAAATGGCATCAAATTGAGTTATAACTCATTTTCTGAATTGGTTTTTTTATTTCATGCCTGTTTGCATAATCCATCCTTCGAAGTTCAGTTCAAAATCTGACTCCATTAGCCATGCTGAGACTCTCGTTCTCATCTGAGTTTACAACAGCTTCTATGCACTTGTTACATGAATTATCTGCTCTGGTAAGATTGAAAGCTGGGTGAAGGACAGGGCTTTCTCTGCTCATTTTCACATTCAGCACTATGCTTTTTATGCAGTGTTTGCTCAGTAAAGAAGGAAAGACAAACAGCTAGAGGGGAGAAAGGCTGGGGAAGGCCCACTGCTCTGGGTTTTGGCAGAAATGAACAGTAATCCCATCATTTAAATGACTCATGTGGGTTGGGGATGTAGTTCAGTTGAGAGTGCTTGCCTAGTAGCATGCTCAAGGCCCTGGATTCGATCTCCAGCCCTAAATATAAAATTGAGTGTGGTGGTGCTCCTATAATCACACTTGGGAAAAAGAGGCAGGAAGAGCAATAGTTCAAGGTCAGCCGTGGCTAACACTGAGTTAGGGTCAATCTGGTTTACATGAGACCCTGTCTCAAAAAAACAAAAAAAGGCTCAAGTAAAAGTGTTGATAAATTATAATCCTTATTTTCACTATGCTTGCTTTTTAATTTTATATGAAAATTATTAATATTAAATATTATAATATAAATCTTCTCAGTGGTCAGACATTACCAAAAACAATAAAATTTTAAAGGCTTCACCAAGGGAAATGAGGAAGAAACAATAACAGTGAACATTCACTGAACTCTGAAAACAGGCTCTGCAATAAGTGATAGAGATTCTCATTTGATCTTTATAACATTTACTTCATAAAATATGTACTATTATTAGTTTCTTTCTACAGTAAAGCCAGTCTTAGGCAATCTATCTAACTTTGAATCATTAGTACCTGGTAGGCTGATGATACAAACCCAGATCTATCTTCAGCTCTCTACCATGCCACCCAGGTGCAAAGAAAATATAGAAGTTGAGTTCAGTGAGGCACACCTGCAATCCCAGCTCTTGAGAGGCTGAGGCAGTAGTAAACCGAGTTTGAAGCCAGAGTGGGCTATATAGTAAGTTTGAGGCTGACTTAGGCAACTTAGCAAGACCCTGTCTCATAAAAGTAAGTTGTGTGTGTGTGTGTGTGTGTGTGTGTGTGTGTGTGTGTGTGACTAAGAGGGGTGGTAGAAAATAAATGCTTAAAAATTGCCTTCCCAAAGAGTCTTTTAATTAAAACCAGATACTCAGGAGGCAGAGGCAGGAGGATCCCAAGTTCAAGGCCTGACCAAAAAACTTAGGGAAACCCTGTCTCACAATTTTTTTAAGTTTAAAAAGATGGGGGAGGTGCTGCAGGGGTAGAGCTGTGTTGGACCCTGGGTTCAACCTCCAAGTACTGCGAAAACAACAACTAACAAAACATGCTATGTTCAGGCAAATTCTCTACCATGAATTAGTGTGATGTTATACTTCTTTCTTTTAAATGAATGGTTAGAGGTTGTATAGACATAATTTTAGCATGAATCCAAACACATAGAAAGTACTTAGTAAATAGTCATTGGAGTTCAGAGTGTGGGTCAAGTAATATAGCAATTTTGCACTTCAATATCAAGAATAAATAATAAAATAATACTATAAGTAACCTTGGAAAATTGATAATAAGAACAAAACTTGGAATTATAATATTCCTCCTAAAAATAACAGAAACCATGTGCTGAATGGTGAGGCTTAATCCTTTTCAATGTTTTTTATCATATCGTGTAATCAAAACAGGTCTCTCAGTTTTTTTTTTTTTTTTTTTTTTTTTTTTTTCTGTTCTTACCTTCCCGGATAGCTGTGAATGGGACTCCCTCGTCTGCATTCATGCTGATAACTTTTAGAGCCACCAGTTGTCCATTTATCCTAGGGGAAGGAGTGGGGCACATGGCACACACTTACCGAGATGCTCCAAAGCAGCAACTTACACGGAAGATGGCTAAAAAAGCTTTCCTTCACAATACATTCTACCACATGAATCTACAATTGTCTCAAAACACAAAACTCATTATATATAACATATATATATAAATATATCACATACCTATATTTCAAAACATTTTTCTTTTTACTAAAGTGTTATATGTTCTTTATAGAAAATTCTGAGAAGGCCAACAGGCACGGAGGAAATATGTCCCTCATAACCTTGCTGTGTGTTGCTGTCTTTGGTGCACTTACTTAGGCCAGCCTTACTTTTTGTCTAACTTTGGTAGTGGCTTCATAACAGTCTCCCTACCCTCAACAGAATACCTGATGACATCATTTTAAAGTGAAAGTTAACATGTCACTTAACTTTTCAAATCCCACTGTATTTCTATGTTTTACTCCAGATGTTTTTTTTTATTTATTTCATTTACTTATTTTATATGTATTAATGTTTTGCCTGCATGTATGTAAGTACACTTGTGTATGCAGTGCCCACAGAGGTCAGAAAAGGGTGTCAGATCCCCTGAAACTGGAATTACAGATGGTTGTTAGCTGCTATGTGGGTGCTGGGAACTGAACCCTGGTCCTCTGCAAGAGATGCCAGTGCTCTCAAGTGCTGAGCCATCTTTCTAACCTCAACCATTTAGTTCTTTAATACAGTGGGACTCATATAATACTGTTAAAGATTGTTAGTAATCCATTCCTTCTCCATTTCAAATTTTCTCTTATCCCTCATGCATACGTATGTATTTGTGTGTGTGATGGCAATCCTTCTGTGCCAGGCTCTCAAACGCTGGGATTACAGGCATGAGCCACTATGCCTGGTTTTATCATTCATTCTTAGACAGTGTGACAGTAATGCTATAATATTTTCTCACATAAATACACCACAATATTATTCTGCCAATTTCAAATACTTATGAATTGTTTCTAGCTTTTGGTTATTACAAAAATACTATGCTGGGCTCATGTTGTAATCCTCACACTTGGGAGACTGAGGTAGGAGCAGTATTGTCATAAATTTGAGACCACACTGGGCTGCATGGTGAGTTCCAGGGCATCTTGGGCTAGAGAGAGACTGTGTCTCAAAAAATCAAACAAAAGCTAGCCTGCACTACCATCCTCAGGCCTCTTGGGGAGCACCGCTTCTGGTCCTGGGCCCGCCCTCACCCCTCTCTGCTTCCCTGGGCCTGCACCACTGGCTAACTCTCCTAGCCTGCACTAACATCCTCAGGCCTCTTGGGGTAAGTATATAACGCAGCTCTTAAAACAAACAAAAGCTAGCCGGCACTACCACCCTCAGGCCTCTTGGGGAGCACCGCTTCTGGTCCTGGGCCCGCCCTCACCCCTCTCTGCTTCCCTGGGCCTGCACCACCGGCTAACTCTCCTAGCCTGCACTACCATCCTCAGGCCTCTTGGGGTAAGTCTATAGCGCAACTCTCCCCGCCGGGACTCCCTAAGCCACATTCACCCTTCCATCCCCCCCCC